GGAGAAGATCCGGAACCAGGTGCAACATGAAGGAACTATGCTGAAAGCGGCCAGGGGCTTCGCTGGCAGGGGCGCGAAGTGGGGGGGGGGCCCGGGGGCGACGCGTGGAAGGATGCCGCCAACAAAGCTGGTGTCGGAGCAGGGGCTCGCCAGTCGCCCGCGTGAGAGGCCACGCATTGAAGAACGGGGGGGCGAGGGCCAGGTGGCCGACAGGGCGGGCCCCTTGAAGTGCGCGCGGGCGTGGCGACGCGGATGGAGAAACAGCGGTCGCGCGGGCGCTTCGTGGGCGAGACGGGACTGACGCGCCGCCTCAAATTTCCAGCGCCAGAGCGAAGGCGGGAGACGCTCTGACCGTCCAGGAGAAGAAACACATCGCGGCCAGCGCACAAGCGCCTGCGGTGGCGTCGTCCGAGAACCCGCGCGCCGCGAAGAGCCGCGCGCGCCGCGCAAGTGAGATCGTGGGATTCTCGGGGGCAATGATTTTGAAGCCTCAGCGCCTGGTGGCGCCGGCGGCCAAGGAGGAGGCGAGTCGGCTCCGGCCGCGTGGAGGGCCTCTGGCACGAAGGTCCACGCTTTGAGCGTCGGCCAGCGAGGGCAGGGTGGGAATCGGCAAGCCGATGCACTTCTTCATGAGTGCGTCTTGCTTGATTATCAGCGATCAGGCGCCCGCGTATCGCTCGGCCAACAGCGACGAGCGCATTTGCGCTGATTGCAGGGCGAAGGCAGCGGAAAATAATCGCCGCAATCCTGATGGGATTGTTCGAGCTGGCGTTCGCGCTCAATCAGTGGGGCGCGACCCAACGCTCGCGGAGTTCGACGATTTGGGCGAGGGCAAGAAAGTTCGAGGCGTTGGGCCCGGAACTGGCCAGACGAAAAGGCGCAGGGCCATTCGCGAATTCAAGTGGCCCGCGCTCCGGCCCGGGCCGCGCCGGGCCATGCGCCGTTGCAAATGGCCCGCGTTGGGGCCGAGGCCACGCCGGGCCATATGCGAATGCAAGTGGCCCGCGTTGGGGCCCGGGCCGCGCAGGGCCACTCGCGCATTCAAGGGGCTCGCGCTGGGGCCCGGGCCACGCTGGGCAGATTGCGCATGAAAGTGGCCCGCGCTGGGTGGGGCCGGGGCCACGCGCGGCCGCGCGCGAAGGCAGGCGGCCCGCGTGGGGGCCCGGGCCACGCACGGCCAGCAGCGAATTCCACTGGCCCGCGTTTGGGCCCAGGCCCAGGCCGCGCAGGGCCGCGCGCGAATTCGAATGGCCCGCGCCGGTGCCCAAAGCCCAGGCCGCGCAGGGCCATGTGCGAATTCGAATGGCCCGCGTTGGGGCCGAGGCCCCGCGGGGCCATCTGCGAATTCAAATGGCCCGTGATGTGCCGCGTCATCGCGCCGTCATGCGTGCCGGGCATGTTCAGCGCCGAACATTACGCCATCCTCTCCAGCGCCTGCTGTTAACCTTTGCCCCCCTCCCCCTCCTCGCCCTCCCCGCCCCCTGTCTCCGCCTCCTGCGAGGCTTGAAGGAGTGCAGGTCGTGGGGTCCATCGCTCTCTGTGGCGGCGGCGATGTGCTCGTCGTCGTCGTCGTCGTCGCCGTTCTCGTCGTCCTCGTCGCCCGCTTGCTTCGGTAGGAGGGTTGGCGTGGGGGCGCGGTTCGGGCGGGGGATTGCCATTTGATCCAGGGTGCTGGGCGCGGCGAGGGTGCGCCGATTGATCCGCGGCGCTGGCTTTGGCGAGGGTTTGCCGTTTGATCCGGGGTGTTGGCTTCTATGGGGGCTTGCCGTTTGATCCAGGGTGCCAGATGCAGCGGGGGGTTGCCGCTCGATCCAGGGTGCTGACTTTGGCGAGGGGTTGCCGTTTAATCCAGAGCGGTGGCTTCGGTGGAGGTTTGCCGTTGAATTCAAGGCGTTGAGTGCGGCGGGGGGGCGCCGTTTGATCCCAGTGCTGGTTTTGGCAAGGGGTTGCCGTTTGATCCAGGGTCGCGGTTTCGGTGGCGACCAGCGTCCAAGAGGCGCGTGACCTACGATGCGCCATAGTCAAATCGCTTTTCTGGTTAAAAGAAAACAGGCGCAGTAAGGATGCAATGGCCTTAAAGGCCACGTTGGCGTTTTTTCGCATGGGGCTGGTCATTGAAAGTTGCCAAGGATAGGTTGCGCTGCATGAGCAAGGATCAAGGATGCAAGGGCAATCCTGGGAACTTGCACGTCCTCGCTCTGCGACCTGACTGCATCCTGCGCGTGCGCACGGGGGCGCAGCTTGAAAGACTGACGCGGCAGTTTCGAGCGCGCCAGAGCCCAGGCTGGCGCGGGGAAGAACAAAGGCGCTCCAGGAGCTACCCAAGGGGGTTCATGCCACTGCTCGTTCTTCGAAGCCTCGACGTTGAGAGCTGTTTCGCGTCGCCGCTTGCTCCCGGGGGCCTTCGTGTTAAGAACTTAATGCGTCGCCGTGCGCTGTCGGGGGCTTTGGCGTGGGGAGTTGGCTCGCGTCGCTGTTCGCTCTTTGGGGCCTTGGCGTTCAGAGTTGTCTGCGCCCTCGTTCCACTGGGGGGTCTTGGCGTCCAGGATGTTTTGCGTCGCTGCTCGCCCTTGGACAGGTGGAGGTGCGAGGCGGCCCGAGGGCGGTCCCTTGGCGCGGGGGCTGGGCGGCCTGGGCGCGGGGACTGGCCCTGCCTCCGCCGCGAGTGCAGGCGCCGAGCTGCCCCGCGGGGTGAAAATGGGAGCTGGCCCGCTTCCTGCGGGCGTGGCGGTCGCCTGGTGCTCTGGAAAACGCGCCCATCGCTGGGCCGTCCGGGCGGGGGTCCTCTGGGGGCTCGTCTGGGTGTCCTGGGGCCCTCTTGGGCCGTTCTGGGGGCGGGGGGCCTGGCCCGCCTTGGGGCCCCCCCGAGGCTCTCGTCGGCCGCGCGGGGGCCCCCTGCGGCGCTCTCGGGCCCTGCGCGGAGGCCTCTTGAGACCCGCGCTGCCCCTCGGGGGCCGTCCTGCGGCGCTGCGTAGCCGTCTGGGGCCCCTCCTGGGAGCTCCCCTGGTCGTCGCGGGGCGATGTCGGAGGCGCTCGGTGGAGTTTTCGGTCGATCTGGGCCCGAAAGGGCAGGCACCTCAAACACCAGAAAAACACATGAATGACTCGACACGGAGATTCCCATATGCGCATCTCAGAGTGCTGGCATGTTTTGGTCGCAGACAGCGCCCTGCTCAATATCTGAATGTCAGCGAATCCACATGGGAGACGAAGCCGAGAGAGGCGCCGACGGCAACGATGATTTTAACTAGACGCTTCCTCCTTCTTTCCTCCTCCTGCGTGTCCCCCCAAGTCTTTTCCTTCTGTCCTCTGAACACTTGTAGGAGGATCCATCCGCGAAGACGAGAATGCCAGGGAAACTCGAACAATGCGTGCCGAGGAAACTCGAACGACGCAAAAACACTGGACAACCTAGAGCAGCGAAGCTCGAGCCAGGAGCCTCGAACCTCGATCCTCTGGCCTCGGCTGGGCGAGTTGTCCGTTCGGCAGCGAAAGCCCTCTTGCTCGTTCCACATCCGTCCTCCTCCTCCTGTTCCTCCCTCTTCCTCCACCTTGTCCTCCTAGTCCTGCTCGCATCTCTTCGCCGCCCCTCCCCAGTTGCGATCTCCCTGGCCACCTCCTACTCCAGCGCAACCCCCCCCCCCCGCCTCCTCTCGCAATCTGAGCCCTGCGGGGTGCTCGAGCCAGCACTCCGCCTGACAAATCCTTGCGGCTGGTTTTGGGCGCAGACGACCCTGCCCACCGAGGCGGGCAAATCCGTTCAGCCATCTTCGCAATCAGCGCCTCGCCTGAGAAATCCTCAACGTAAACAAAGCCGGCTACGAATTGAGCAAACCGTGCGATTTTGTGGAAAGCGAGAGATGCTGGACACCGAAACAAAGCACACCGCCTGAGACATCTTCACAATCTGGGCGCGAGTCCTGGAGCATCCCCACCCCTGGCGCCCCCCCCTTGGGCATGCTGAAACCGGCGCCTCGCCTGAAAAATCTCCAGAAACGGCCCCGCATGCAAGGCGCGCTGGGCACCGACGCGAGCGAACCGCCTGAGACACCCCACAATCTGGGCGCGAATCCTGGAGTGCCCGAGCCCCTGGCGCCCCCCCGTGGGAATGCTTGAACCTGCGCCGCGCCTGAGACACCCCCAGGAAAGGCTCCGAAAGCAAGATGTTGGACAATGACGCAGGCCAGCCGCCTGAGACATCGCCGCGAACTGGGCGCGCATCCCAGAGCGCCCCCACCCCTAGCGCCCCCCCGTGGGCATGCTGACACCGGCGCCGCGCCTGATACATCCTCAGAAACTGTTCAGGCATCCTCAGAAACTGTTCTGGGAACAAGATGTCGGGCACCGAAACAAGCAACTCGCCTGAGGCACCCCCGCAATCTGGGCGCAAACCCTGGAGTGCCCCCCCTCCTGGCGCCCCCCCTGGGAGTGCCGAAGCCAGCGCGTCGCCCGAGACATCCTCGCAGCGCGTGTGTGAGTGAGCGCGGGAAGGTGGTGTGACTGGCTCTGGGCGAGGAAGAACGAATCAGAGTATGAGTGAGTCTTCCTGTGAGTGAGACTGGATGTGCAACATCTCCACAACGCACGTTTGAATCCGATCGCGGAAGTGGCGTGGCTGTGTCTGGGTGAAGAAGACCGAGGCAGAACATGAGTGAGTCTCAGTGTGAGTGCGTCTGCATATGGGTGGCCCCGAGCATGAGAAATTTGAGTACCAGGAAGCTAAGAGCGAGCGCGTTTGAGTATGACTGGGTCTGCATGTGGGTGGATCAGAGAATGATCGATGACGACCTGAGGGTGGGAGGGGCGTTCTCGCTCTCCGCGCGTCAAAATAATGACAAGGACCCCGACCTTAGGATATAAGGAAATATATGTGTTCTTCGCCTCCTTAGGCCGTCTAGGGGGTCCTCTGGGAAGGTCCTTGGACCGTCCCGGGGATCTGTTGGGCCATCTTTAAAGGCTTCGGCCGTCTTCGGGCCCTCTCAGGCCCCTGTTCGGCCCTC